CTTTTAAAAGAAAGCGTGGAGATCATATTTTAGCTGGACCAGTACAAATTCTTGTAATCCAGTCAAAATCCATGCTAAAATAGAGGCAGACACAAGTGTATATCTAGCCATTAAACGGTACATTAAATGTTCACGTTGCTCCTGGACACAACAGTTCCTTAGTTAAGAGGTTGTTCAAAGTTTGGCCATTCCTCCATGGCATCCTTCTACAGTGCTACAAGAGCTCACAAAACTTCTTGAGCCAATGACAGTCATCTATCAAGCACCTGACTGTTAGAAACTAGCATTTTTGGTGGCCATTACCAATGCACACTCAGCAAGTCTGTGAGCTTCAGGAGCTTACCCTCAAAGAACCCTTTTTTACATTATCCCAATATAAATTAACACTTCTTTCCTTCCCAAATTGGTAACAGAGTTGGACAGGAATTAATAAATAGTTCTAACATCTTTCTGCCAGAAACCAAAAGGTAAAGAAGCAGAGATTCTTAGCATAGACATCTGCAGATGCATTATACTGATCCTACTAAAGACTTCGGAAAATCAATCACCTTGTTTGTGCTTTTTAGCAGGGGCCAAAAAAAACCCCTTCAAAATCCACCACAGCCAGATATATATGGAAAACTATGCATCTGACCCAGGGGCGGACTGACCATTCAAGAACTCGGGCACTGCCCGAGAGCCCAGGGTCAGTAGGGGGCCCCATGAAATGCCCCTGGTACCTTTCTATAGGCTTTTTTGTGTGTGTTTTGAGTGTGGGCAAGGACACGGGCCCCATGATTCCCTATTGCCGGGGCCCCATGAGTTGTAAGTCCGCCCTTGATCTGACCTACACTTCTGTGGATAACACTTGTCCTATACATATCACCGCACACCCAGTTAGGGTGCTGTCTACATCTTTGCCAGGAAAGGCTGGTGCTACAAATGAGCAGATTTGCAAAGCAGATGCATGGTCAAACCTTAATACTTTCATAAGACCAGACAAACCCATCTGCATGTCTGCCATCACACTGACCTCCTCTTCACTCAGGACCAGTCATTTGGAAGGAAGGCGCTTCAAACAATAGTCCCACTCTGGTAACATCTTTAAGGTCTCATGTGACCCTTCCTGGAGGAGGATTACGGGAAAACAGGAGTTATTACCTTTTCCAAAAATCCTCCAGGATAGTTAGCTCCCACATGAAGTTTGTCATGTATTACTTGTTTTAATGGTCATCTTTTGTATTCGTGAAACAATTGGTTTCTGGAAGCCTCTCTCAGTGAATGGATTCCTGCAGGTGGGAGAAGGCATCTCGTGTGAACTGTCCGGCAGGATTCTTGGAAAAGGAGTTACTCAGGTTACGCATGTTTTTAGTAATGCAAACAAGCATTTTCAGATGGTCAGCAACAACATACCCTGTATTTTACCTTTTGAATGGTTGGAAAGCTACAACTATTGTTTTATTGAATGAGCTCCAAGTTGGAACATACTGTACAATATGTCACTTTTTGAAAACTAGGTCTAAGGAAGACGCAACTGGTGCTCTTTATTTTGCCATTCTTTAAAGTGTAGAGATTGGGCTGAAAGGCCTCTGCCATAACATGGTCAAGTTAAAGGAATATTTTACTTTGAAAGTCAAACAGCTGCCTGCTGAGCATTGCCACAAGGTGGATTTGTTTTTAGTTAATGGCAAATGGAGACTGTGCACTTTGCACTTGCAAAGTGCACAGTCTCCAAGGACATTTGCTCCACAACTTAGTAAATGAGGTGAATATTCACTTTGCAAATAATACCCCTATCACAAAAACAAAAACAGCATTTTTGCTTGCACAGGATTGGATGATGGAAGCCAGCAGAGCTTCCCATTTACTAAGCACTGGAGCAAATGCCCTAACAGAGTGCAAATGTACTTGGAATGTGAACAGTCTATTTGCCTTTAGTAAATCAACCCCAGTGTATGCAGCTGAACTCAGATAAAGGAGGTGATGTTATACACTGATAGCAGTGTATATACAATGTATAAAATTTTTCTTTTGTGACATTTTGGTGTTATTACTTGTAGCTCCCATTTTAGAACTCCTCCAAGTACTTCACCTACTTTTGCACTTGTGGCATAATTTTAAAATTACTGGGGGATGTGGTAGGGAAGGAAATTCTCTATCTGCTGTCTCACTAGGAAGATGGGATCTCTTCTCATATCGGTGCTACCACAAAAGGTGAATCTAAAAGGAATTGCAAGTTGATCAGATTTAATATTCCTCTATTTTGATGCAATTTATTACATAATACAGTATATACAGATTTTGCATAATACCAAGACATTACTGATCTGATGATCTGTATAATCTAGCTATCAAAATAACCACCTGAAATGGCTAACCCAAATACTTTGGTATGTCTGGCTCACCAGATACTACTGACTTAATACCGTCATATTCCTATTCTAATATAAACTAAGTTTCCAATGTTCAAAGTTTAAAGGCAAGCACATCGATGTATTTTGAACGTGAAAAGAAAGGAGCATGTGGGACTCCAACCAACATTCGTCATATCCCTGGTTCTGCTACTCCTTGACATTAATTTTAGCGGATTTGCTTGGTTTTGTTCTAAGTATTCATCTGGAATTAGAGTTGTGTCATATGATATCCACAGAAATAAATGCTTATTATCTAGTTCCTTAATGAGATGTACACTGGTCCTTCCAACAGAGCAGCATTTGCGGTGCCAATGGCCTTACAGGTATCTCCAGTGAAAGAAGGCTCAGTTGGCTGTGAAGGAAGTCATCAGTTGATCCTTTTTGTCTTGTTACCATCACTGCCCATGCGTGCCTTTGGAATAAAGGAAGTGCTATATGAATATATCTTTCAGTACCTAAAGTCCAAGAGTTAAGGCTACAATACCAAAGCATGATAATCCGCATTCTTTACACAGAGATCCCTGAATAAATATTTGGTTTCCATGGAATATCCACATTTTTCCTCTGCAGTGTTCTACTTTCCTTGGGAGCTATTTCTCAGTACACAAAACTGAACTCACCATGGGCTAACCGTATAACTCACATAACTCAATTGAGACTAATCATTAAAGAAAATACCCTACTGAGAGAAATATATAGACTGACATACTCTCCTCCTAGAAATTCTGTCTGTCAATGGCTTCAATACTTTATTTCACTGAGCCAGAAGAAGTACGCAGATGAGTTTTGACTCCACTGGCTGCATACCTGGTCCAGGTTGGTGACTTAGAATACCAAAGCTAGTGCAAGGCACACAACAAAATGCTCACGTAGTCTGCAATGGTAGTCTATACGTCTCCCGTCAGCAAAGGTTCCTTTAAAAGTTATTTGCTCCTTTATATAGAAGTCACTTGATATTTATAGCATTTTTTTTATATTTTGAAAATGGCCACTAAACCTAAAATACAAGGTAAGTGATAAAAAATATACTCTGGTGCACTGGATTTAAAAAAAGAAACAAAAAAGGCCATGTGTGAGTTTAAGGCCATTGCCAAGAGCTGGCTGACTTAAAGTGATACTAAAGCCAAAATCTTTTTGACCTTAATACATTCCTTGCATGAAAGTAAAAAAACAGTTTAGATTTTCTGTCGTCCCCTTCCCCATGTGAAGGGGTAAAGGGGAAGAGAGGGGAGAATACATTCAGCACTCTGCATCTCTTCTCCCCTCTCTTCCTCTTCTCACAGGGACTCGAACAGCACCAGGAGCCATTGGTTCCTGCTGATGTCAATCACATACTATGAGGAGGAAGTGGGGGTGGGGCTAAGTCCTGGTGTGTGTTTATAGAACATGGCTCTACGGACACACCGCACAGGAGCGAGCAGACACAGTGTGCCCACACAGCAAGCGGCTTGCTATAACGACACATGAAGAAAAGGCAGGAGCCAAGATCACCTCTGGGGGACTTGAGAAGAATAGGATCAGGGCAGCTCTGTGCAATGCCACTGCACAGAGCAGGTAAGTATTACATGTTTGTTATTTTAATTTAAAAAAAAACAGACTTTAGTAACACTTTAACCAGAATGCACATCAATGATTCACAGTAGCAAGAAGTACCATAAATGGGCTCAGCTATTAAATGGTAAGAGGAAAGTGATGTGGACACAGGTCATAAAATTCCAACCTGAGCATGTTTGGGAGAAGGGTGTAATTTTACTAAAACTAGAGCAATGGTGTGTAGCTATTTTCGGTATAGATAAGTAGTGCTGAGTGAAGCAGAGATCCGAAATATAACGCGCTGGTGACTTCATGTGCAGCAAGTCCTTGAATACTGCATTCAGTCTTGAGCCAGCATTTAATATGAGAGAACAGGCTGCAGTCAGCCATAAACCAAATGTTAAAGCAATCAGAAATACCTCAGCTTACACAGGATGAGGATTTAATAGTCAAGCAGTGACTTTTTATGCATGTTCCCTTGCATTTTAGGTTTAATGGCCTTAAAATGTCACCATCCTCTTTTAAGGATGATTGCAATAATCAGTATATTAGCCATTAATGTTGCTGGTGTGAAACTGCAGAGATGAAACGCGGCATGTAACCAAGAATAAATTAGCTGCCATTCATGTACTAAATAGTATAGGGCTGTTGTGTCATAAGATGCCACCATGCATACTAAGTGCCACCTGAATACTGCAGCCCACACAAGTAATTAAGAGCAAATGCAACGGGCTGAGAAGGGTTAAAATGAGAAGAGCCCTGAAAAGATTCTCACTAGAGGGGAGCCAATTACAACTCCAGAATGCAGCACAATAAACCTCCATATGGTAAACGGCAAACCAAAACATTCAAAAGGAGGTTCCGTTGAAACGAGGAGGAGGAGGAGGAGCTGTCAGGAGTCCCGGCTCAGATTAGTTAATAACACTTTTCAACATAGCAGTTAAAAATGACAAGCTCTCATCTCCGAAGGCTGAATATAAAACCTTAACTTCTAGATTCTCTGGTTGGTGCACTCCAGAGTCCTCAGTCTTCTACTCCTTGTGTCTGTTGTCAGGATCTGTCCATAAATCGTCATCAAGATACAACCGGAGTCATATCCCACAGCTGTGATAACAGAAGCACACAATTATTCATTTATTATTATTTACTCTTGTTAAAAGGTAAAACAACAAAACAAAAAAACAGGCAGTGGTTCCCCCTCACACTGCAAGAGTTAAAGTCTTGTTAAGCCTAGGAGGCAGAAAGAGGTTGCGCTACTTATCTGACTCCCCCCTCTCCAGCAGGCTCCGGTGCGGTCTTCCTTGAAGCTCTGCGAGTTTGGGGTGGAAGAGCTTCACTGGCCTGCACAGAGTCCTGACCTCAACCCGATAGAACACCTTTGGGATGAATTAGAGCGGAGACTGCAAGCCAAGCCTCCCTCCCCCGATATCATTGCCTGACCTCACAAATGCGCTTCTGGAAGAATGGTCAAACATTCCCATAGACACTTGAGTACTAACCTGCATATACCCCTTCCTGCCTAGATCATTTTTCAGTGCTGTGATGGTTTGACTCTGCCATACAACACTGTACCCAAATTAATCTTTTGTTATCATTTTTTGAGACAGAGCTTTCCTTAGCTGATATTTATAAACTTTTTATTTTTTTTTATATAAAAGATGAAAAAACCCAAACATTTTGAAAGGAAAAAATGTTTTCCTTTACTTTCTGTAAAACACATCAAATGCCAGGATAGTGCAAACAAAATGACCCCTTTTTAGAAAGTAAACTCCCCTTTTTGCTACTTTTTTTTTGTAACTGAACATACATGCTGGTATTGAATAGTTAAAACATGGTGCACTAGATACAAGCGCATAAAGGTCATAGACTTGTCTCATGTTCTGCCCCCCTCGCTAATGTACAGCGCTGAGCAAACCCTTGGCGCTATATAAACACTGTATAATAATAATAGACAGCAGGAGGGGGAGGTGAAGGGGTTAATGTACAGGTCACATACAGTGAGAAGATGGAGATATAGGGGTTAATGTGTAGGATAAGGGAGGTGAAGATATTAATGTACAGGCACTACAGAGACAAGATGGAAAGGAGATGGTGAAAGGATCCAAAAACACACCACAACAATTACTACTCTCCCCACCTCAAATCTGCTGCTATGTGTAATATAATTACATTAAAAGGACCATACTACTGACCTTTAGGACCTTGTCTGTTCCTGAAGTCAATAACCAGACCCTTGTGGGATCGAAGTTTACATGGATAATGTTGTGTTTACTATCATGGAAAGATGCAGTTGGTGCTCGCCTGGAATGAAGAGGATAGGACAGAGGTTACCAAACTATTAAAGGAAAAGGATACCTGGAATATGATTGGTTGTTATGGGCAATACCTACTCTATAGTGATCAACTGAAAATTGTTCTGCAGTATTTCAGATATACATATATCTTTGCTTTTACACCGTTACTTACTGGTCATCAGTGATAGTGTCATAGCAGCTGTCACACACGCGGACCTCAAATTCAAATCCCATGAGAGGAATGGTGGACCTCTTAGAGCTACATTTACCGCATACTGCTTTCCCACATTTCCTGCAATGGTGCTGATGTAACAAAAAAAAAGAAAAACACTTCATTATTCTGTCATGTGTACATAGTGAGATGAGAAAATCATAGCAATCAGCACTGCAGCAGTTCCACTGGAGGGAGAAAATATCACCTTTTACAATGGCCCTCTGGTGCCACCTTATGGTCAGCTTTGACTATTACACATCCCATTTTTCCATCTTGCTTGTTCAAGGTCTTGTTTATGGGACTGGTGCTGATACCCACAGGGGTCCAAAAGGCCTGCAGCTTTCAAAGTGCAGTAATGATTATCCCTTGGAGGATGCCTATTACTAATTACTACACCCTGTGCGAGGCACAACCAATGCTGTGAACTGCTTCATTCTCTAACGGGAAATTTAAAAATAAAGGACTTTGGTCTCAAATCATTTTTAATTTTGCAGAAAGTGTTAGAAGCTCTGTCAAAATTTTATTACAATCTGTGGCCTCATCTGTGGATATTCACTCTGACTTTACGTGAAGGAAATTAACATTTTAGAGCCGTCACTGTAACTGGAGGGGAAGCCTTCCTAAGAGGCACCTGTCAAAGGTGGGCTTTCCCTACACTGTATGCTGTGTTTCCAGAAGAGGAAGTGAGGGGAAATCTATGGGACACACAAAAAAGAAACAAACTGACACTTAAACTTGTCTCTTAGGAAGGGGAAGCCTTCCTAAGAGTTACTAGTCTGGTGACAACTGTCAAGAGAGGGATTTCTACACTGTCTGCTGTATTTTCCTGAAGAGGAAGTGAGGGGAAATCTATAGGAAAACACAAAAAAAGAAACTAACTGACATTTAAACTTGTCTTTAGGAAGGGAAGTTTTTCCTAAGAGTTACTAGTCTGGTGCCAACTGTCAAGATACAGGATTTCTACACTCTCTTGACTGTGTTTTCAGAAGAGGAAGTGTAAAGGGAAAACTCAAATACATAAAAAAGAAACAAACAAACTGACTTTTTTAAACTTGTCTCTTAGGAAGGGGAAGCCTTCCTCATAGTCACCAGTCTGGTGACAACTGTCAAAGGTGGGCTTTCCCTACACTGTCCACTGTGTTTCCAGAAGAGGAAGTGAAGGGAAATCTATTGCGTAATCTATTGGGTATCGAAAAAAACAAAACACCTGACATTTAAACTCATCTCTTCTATTTTATTAGAGTTGTAGCTGGAATTACACTTTAATTGTGCTTTCCGCTCAGGAATACACAGAGGATGTGCCCTCGGAGCTCTTTAGGCAAGATACAACATTTCTGGATAGAGCGGTGAAGAGTGCATGTTTATTTTGGGTGTGTTGATTTTGGTCTGTGACCACAACGGGGAGACTTTCCTAACGTCCGGTTTCTGTGACACTCAGGGTTGCAGGTGTCACTGAACTATCATTTTATTTGGTGAAGACCATTGTGAGAACATTTTGATGAAGTTTTAAGGACAACTGACATTTTCTAAGTGCCGGTTGTTGAATGTAAATAAAACCACCTCACTTTACTAAAACATGTACATAGTGTCGGTGCTGGAGACACCTCCTGTCCTGACATAGATTACTAATATCTAGTTAGGCGTGTGGTCCTGACCTCCCTGTGTGGTCCCCTGCTGCATATAGCACCCATACCACCTGTACCCCCACAATTCCGAATTGTAACGTATTGTTAATTATCTGCATATGGAGCTTTTTGCAAAATAGTGCAATCGTTTTGTGACATTGTCCTTGTTTGCTTCCTACTAATAAACACTCTGATCTTTTCACTTTCTTTCCCTCTCCATTAACTAGCCGAGCTGAATTCTGAACTCTTCATCTTACTACTTCCACTTTACTGTCCTCCAGGCTTTATGGGGGGCAGGACTGTGGTCAGTAGGAGTAGAAAAATATCCTGGTGTCAGAGGGAGTAAAACATTGCTCCATTTTCAATGGGAGGAATAGTTTGATATAATTGGTGTCAGTAGAAGAAATAGTGCCCCATCCTTGGTGTCAGTGGGAGGAATGGTGCCCCATCCTTGGTGTCAGTGGGAGGAACAGTGTCCCCATCATTGGTGTCAGTAGAAGGAATAAGGCCTCATTGTTCGTGTCAGTGGAAGGAATAAGGCCTCATTGTTCGTGTCAGTGGAAGGAATAAGGCCTCATTGTTCGTGTCAGTGGAAGGAATAAGGCCTCATTGTTCGTGTCAGTGGAACGAAGGCCTCATTGTTCGTGTCAGTGGAACGAATTATGCCTATTGGTGGTGTCAGTGGGAGGAATAGTGCCCCATCACTGGTGTCAGTGGGAGGAATAGTGCCCCTCATTGGTGTCAGTGGGAGGAATAGTGCCCCATCACTGGTGTCAGTGGAAGGAATAGTGCCCCATCACTGTGTGTCAGTGGGAGGAATAGTGCCCCATCACTGGTGTCAGTGGGAGGAATAGTGCCCCATCACTGGTGTCAGTGGGGAGGAATAGTGCCCCATCACTGGTGTCAGTGGGAGGAATAGTGCCCCATCACTGGTGTCAGTGGGAGGAATAGTGCCCCATCACTGGTGTCAGTGGGAGGAATAGTGCTCCATCATTGGTGTCAGTGGGAGGAATAGTGCTCCATCATTGGTGTCAGTGGGAGGAATAGTGCTCAATTGTTGGTGTCAGTGGCAAGAATTATACCACTATTGTTGGTGTCAGCAAGAAGAATAGTGCCACAAGGGACAGATAAAGGCAAGCAAAGGGCCACACCTGGCCCCTGGGCCACAGTTTGAAGACCGCTGTACTATAGAGACTTCCACTAGCTTCTGGGTCCTGTGCACAGTGACTGCCCTGCTGCATTGTGAACACCAGAGGTTGCTCGCTTTGCATTGGCACCATTCAGGAAACACTTTGTAATGACGCTGCCCCATCTCTCTGACAGAATGGAATCTCCTCCTCACTCACTCAAACAGACATTTTACACTTACGGGTAAAACAGTGTCTGCCGAGTGAAGCCTGTGCCGTGCAGGTGACCTTCAGGGTTTGGTAAGCAGTAGGCCAGCTGATCAGCACAGGATCCAGAATCTTGCAACAATCACTGAACTGGCGGTGCCCACTACAGCAATTTCCAGCTTCTACAGGGATCACACAGGTATGGGGCATATACATTGATATTAGTCCAAGCTGGACCAATGTAACTGTGTAACTTCAGCTTTACGTTTCAAAGGCATGCTTACATTTACCACAAAGAAAATGCTTTGGATAGAACTGACCAGCAGCATCATGAGTGATATTTTCACAATAACAAAGTATACCCAATAATGTCTTCCCTATATCTGGTTACAGAAGTTAGGTACAGAGAGCCAGCAGAATACTGGGAACATAAAACACACATTTTCAATGCAATGATTAAAATGATCTATCCATTGTTACTGCCGATATCAATGATCACATCTCTTATGGATGTGATCATAGAAGTTCACTTAGTTCTGCACTCCTGTGAGCCAATATTCAGCCGACAGTGGCCTAAATACCTTTGTCATCTGATGTCACAGAATCCGTCCAGGCTCTGCAGGGATCCTGACAATAATGTCAGGATCCACCCAGATATCGGACCGGCAGCTGGCCCAGCCTCTCCGTGTGCTGCTGCCCCTCCATAGTTCGGCGCTCCAGTGAGCGCTGGAGGGACAGAGTAGAGAGCGGTGATTGACAGTCAACGGCTCTCTGCTCACTGAAGACTGAAAAATGATCGATCAGTAGTCTATGATCGGTCACTCCTCAGTGAAGAGTCGGTGGGGGATCGATGCTGAAGCCATCTAGGTGAGCATGCGTGTTTGTTTATTTTATTCCCATACTTCTTTTTTAAATCACCTGAAGGGATTTGGACTCACTGTACTATCAGAATTCAGCCACATCACCTTATTCACAGCCCTGGTAAAAGCCAATTATGTCACGTTCATGACAAAAGACATGGAAACTACAATCAGGCTCTAGGGTTCAGGTACAGGCTCTAGAGTTCAGGTACAGGCTCCAGGGTTCAGGTACAGGCTCCAGGGTTCAGGTACAGGCTCTAGGGTTCAGGTACAGGCTCCAGGGTTCAGGTACAGGCTCCAGGGTTCAGGTACAGGCTCCAGGGTTCAGGTACAGGCTCTAGGGTTTAGGTACAGGCTCTAGGGTTTAGGTACAGGCTCTAGGGTTTAGGTACAGGCTCTAGGGTTTAGGTACAGGCTCTAGGGTTTAGGTACAGGCTCTAGGGTTTAGGTACAGGCTCTAGGGTTTAGGTACAGGCTCTAGAGTTTAGGTACAGGCTCTAGGGTTTAGGTACAGGCTCTAGGGTTTAGGTACAGGCTCTAGGGTTTAGGTACAGGCTCCAGGTTCAGGTACAGGCTCCAGAGTTCAGGTACAGGCTCCAGAGTTCAGGTACAGGCTCCAGAGTTCAGGTACAGGCTCCAGAGTTCAGGTACAGGCTCCAGAGTTCAGGTACAGGTCCAGAGTTCAGGTACAGGCTCCAGGGTTCAGGTACAGGCCCCAGGGTTCAGGTACAGGCCCCAGGGTTCAGGTACAGGCCCCAGGGTTCAGGTACAGGCCCAGGGTTCAGGTACAGGCCCCAGGGTTCAGGTACAGGCCCCAGGGTTCAGGTACAGGCCCCAGGGTTCAGGTACAGGCCCCAGGGTTACAGGCCCCAGGGTTCAGGTACAGGCCCCAGGGTTCAGGTACAGGCCCCAGGGTTTCAGGTACAGGCCCCAGGGTTTCAGGTACAGGCCCCAGGGTTCAGGTACAGGCCCAGGGTTCAGGTACAGGCCCAGGGTTCAGGTACAGGCTCTAGGGTTAGGTACAGGCTCTAGGGTTTCAGGTACAGGCTCTAGGGTTTAGGTACAGGCTCTAGGGTTTAGGTACAGGCTCTAGGGTTTAGGTACAGGCTCTAGGGTTTAGGTACAGGCTCTAGGGTTTAGGATCATGCCTGCACATGGAGAGAGAGGAAAGCGTGAATTAGGCAACTCTTATGCATATAAAGTCTCCTCACATACAATCCACTCTGCAGCAATCAGCTGGGACATGCAGTAGATTTGGCCGAGCTGCACTTAAAATGACAGCAGAGGAATCATCAACACATTGCACAGCAGCATGGCCACTTCTCAGCCGTCTGACACAACACACACACCTGCCTGAGGCCGATCTTCTTGCTGTCCCACATCTGTTTGAAGTTCCAGAAGAAAGGCTGATCACACTTCTGACAGGAGTCACTGTCCAACCATTCTGGTGTCTGCAATACAACAAAAGGTAGGCAAAAGTTACTCACTACTCCAAAGAATATTTATATTCTTAAAAGTATTACATTGTTGCTGTTTTTTTACAAAATAAACCTGTCATGAGACAGGGATTGTTTCCTGGTTTTTGGCCTAGGTCAAAATGATGTCATACATCCCAGGAGTCTTCACGGGTATTATGTTCCTTTCATCTAGAGAAGGGGCTTTCTTAGCTGAGCACACCCTCCTGCTGCCATGCCTGAGCTAAGGGTAGATGATATCCAGGAAGTAAGCATTACAAAGACCATCTGCCTTTACTCAAGATGGCTGCAGCTAGAAACTCTGGGGGGGGGGGGGGGGGGGGGGGGGGGGGGGGGGGGGGGGGGGGGGGGGTAGGTTTTCAAAGGGATTTTACAACGGAATAACACAGACAGTTCAAACTTAGGTTTTCTATAACTGCGATCAGACAGCTTTTTATTTACATAAAACAAATATTGGTGCTACTACCCATTCAGTCCCACATTAATAGAGATGACGGGTGCCCGATCCACACGATACTCCATCAAAGTGATCCGCATGACAGCTGCTTCTCCTAAAATCTTGTATTTATTTTGAAAACCACAGTATACACATTACAAATACAGGGAGTTGACGCGTTTCAGCCTACACATCTTGAATCATGACTAAAGCAGTCTATGAGGGATGTGACCACCACATTGAAGGTGTAGGCAGGTATACTGGGGGGCTTAAAGGATAAGTTCACATTTGGGAACATATGAGATATTCCACCTGACCCCACCCCCCCCACGAGACAGCAGGCCTGGGATCTTCTCACCACACCTGCTGTCACAATTTTAAATGAGTATGGCCATGTATCCACATGGCCATGTTCTCTGAATGAATGAACTACAAGTACCGACAGCCTTTGCGGCTGACAGCTTGTAGTTCTCAATGAACGACGAGAGTGCTGGTGAGCATCCTCCTTCATTGATACTACCAGGACTGAAGTAACTACCTGCCTGTATAGGATGTAGGGGCAGACAGCTACACTGACAGTCTGCAGAAGCCTGACATTGCACCTGCAAATTTGATGATTGTGGGTGCGATGCTTTACAGGCTACTAAGAAAACAAAAAGTAAATGCACATTTTTTACCTAAAGGTGAACTTAACCACTTGCCCTCCTGAGGATTTACCCTCCTTTCTGACCAGGCTATTTTTTGCGTTACGGCGCTGGGTTACTTTAACGGACAATTGCGCGGTCATGCAACGCAGCACCCAAATTAAATTTACGTCTTTTTTTTCCACGAATTGCGCTTTCTTTTGGTGGTATTTGATCGCCTGTGTGTTTTTTAATTTTTCATGCTATAAAAAAAAAAAGGCTGACAATTTTGAGAGAAAAAAAAACAATATTTTGGACTTTTTGCTATTAAACATGTCCAGTAAGAAAAAAAAAAAAAAAAAAAAAAAAAAACACATTTTGTCATAACTATAGGCCAAAATATATCCTGCTACATGTCTTTGCTTAAAAAGATCCCAATATGTGTAAATCAATTGGTTTACATGAAAGTTCTAGCGTTTACAAATGGCAGTATAGATAATAGAATTTACTTTATTTTTACTAGTAATGCGGCAATCAGAGACTTATATCAGGACTGTGGCAGCCATTCTGGCACTGGCGGGAATTGACTTGGTGTCACTGATATCCCCAGTGACACCAATACAGAGATCAGTGCTGGAAAGAAAAAAAAAAAAAAAAAAAAAAAAGCACTGACACTGTACTAATGGCATTGGGCAGAAAGGGGTTAACATGAGGGGCGATCAAAAGGTTAACTGTGTGCTGTTTCACTATCAGCTGTGTCTGTGTGCTTCACTGTAATCACACTGCTTTGCATAACTGTGCTGTGCACAGCCATCCAAAGCAGTGTGTATGAGTTGACAGGCAGGAGAACTGTTTTGTTTACAAACAGTTCTCCTCCCCATCGGAGATGCTCAGCAATCACCGGGGCGCCGGCGAGTAATCACCAGTTGGGCCCCGGTGATTGACAGCTGTGGCCACGAATGGCAGTGTGGGTAGGGTGTGCTCCCCCTACTTGGAAATGCAAAATCAAGTATATATACATGATTTTGCACACCCGTGCTGTCTTGTAGCAGTACATCTGCTATAGGGAGGTCAGGAAGCAGTTAAAGAATAAGTAAACCCAACATTTCCTCTTCCTAATATGTACCTGCTGTATCATGTATTTGTATGAAAAAGTAGCCTGTTCTCTTTGTATTGCTTCCTCAGTGTGAAATATCTGGTGATCCTGCCAGTCCCTCTGCTTTCCTATTAAAAACAGAGCACACGAAGCAGGAGAAAACACAGTGGACAGTTCTCTAGCTATGCTCTCCAATGATCAGACTTGTCCTGGCACAGCCGCCCTGCACAGCATTTTACTGGGAAGATCAGTGTGCTGCTGTTTTTCATCTGCTAACTCTTATGCAGGTGAGAGCAGATGGTATGTGATCACTTATAAAAAAAATATTATAAATACTTTTTTTTTTATATCGATACACAAATGCTTTGCCTTTCATTTCTATTTTAATCTGAATGGGTTGTTTTACAAATTGCGCATTTACAATCACTTAAAATCAGCAGTTGCTGAAGCGGGTAACTTTCAAATTTGTCAGGTTGTGTTACCTTAGAAAAAAAAATAAATGCAATTTGAGCTGCCTAAACACTTCCATAAGACTGTACCTATACACTAGAAGCTTAGATCCTGGGACCCCGGGGGGGCTGAACACAACACACGTCTAACCGTCCTTTGGGTACAGGCGGGGGGGATCTTCATTGTCTTGTTTTCATGATGTGCTATGATCCATCTATTCTACCTGAGCTTTATTTGCATCAATAACAATGCCTATGGGATCATTTAACAGATAGGCTGAATACGGTGAGGATAAAGGAGGACATGCAGCTGCTCAGTAGGTGGGGATGAAGAGTTACACCCTGGCCTTACTATTATCCCCATCCTAAAATGTTTAGGCAGACTTCTTTCTTCATTCTGAAGGACATATATTAATGGAAAACTAAGAGTTCTTCATACCCAGCTGGCCTGTGTGAAGTATTTCTTTTTGCTACACGGTCACAGAACAATATCCAAATCTCTGGCAACAGGCAGCATGTGTCTGAGCTCATCTTTGTTCTGCATTGTTATGCAATAAATTCTCTGAATTGTGAAAGCACATTTACCATGAAAAAGCGAGCAGAGGAGAGAACATAACACCACTATTATAAGGTGTCATTGGTACAAACAGAAAACAAAGCCTTACACACAGCCAAATGGGGATTTGTAATTCCATGTCCACAAAGGTACTGGGGATCCTAATGGCCCCTTTATAAAGCTGCAGTAAAGCCCCTACTGAACTTAATGAATGCAGCTATGTAATCATTAATACATCATTAAATGTACGTTTTTATTACAAGCCGTTTAGGTGCCTGAATTAGACTTTGTAGCAGACTCTTGCAATCTATTGTCCTGTGACACTAAGAGAGAGGGAGAGAGAAGCAGCACAATGAGCCGGCTGTGGTGCAGTGCATGGAGCATGCTGAAAGGAGCAGAGTAACAGATTAGTTCATCAGTGTGCGTTTTTATTTTAAGGCCCCAGGTACACGGGACACTTCTGACCAATGGAAACTGGCGGCTGGAAAACGTAGGTTAAAAAACGTCTGTTTCGCCACATTTGCATACCGTGTTTATGAGCGTTTGCGTTTAGAAGTGATTTTTACAGATAAGCACAGGAGAACCTCCCAAATGCCCAGAATGCACTGAAAAGTGGTACATTATTAACCATTTCAGACTGTTTCAGAGAAATACAGAGAGTAGAAGCAGAGACAGCAGGATGTGTTGTGATTAGTTTAGGTGTGAGTTGGTCATTAACATTTCTTTTGTTTCCAAGGGTGGGAAAGGTGTCTGGTGGAGGGAGTCATTAAGGCCTCCTGGCAGGGGGTCTTCATGAGGAATTTGAGGTGTGAATGGTCATTGACATATCTTTTGTTTCCAAGGGTGGGAGAGGTCTGAGGTGTGAATTGGTCATTACAACGTGTGACCAGCTTGGTAGGAACATCCTGTGTTCAGTGTTTTGTCCATCTGAGTACCTTGAAAACGCTTTGCGTCATTGGACATTTCGTTATTACATGAACACAATATTACACGAACACAAGTCAACAGGATGTCTCTGTTTATGTGGTATTATTCTGCTCTGCCCCTGTGTGGGCGTATTTTGAGCTTGTTGTATTTTAAAACAAAAATTTCTTAATAAAAACTATTGAAACAGAAAACGCTTTGTATGCATTTTTCATGATGAAAATAGGCTCCGAACAGCACTGGGAACTGGAAGAGTTAAAAAATTTCAAATGCAAACGCTTATAAACGCGATTTGCTGCGTTTACAAGCATTTTGTGTTTGAAACGCTGATACAATCAACTGCTGAACGCACGTTTTCTGCGTTCAAAAAAACTACTGTAAACACAAATGCCTGTAAACGATTGTAAACGAAGATGTGTACATGGACACATAGGAAAACAGAGTGAGTTCAGGGGCTGCTGAAAAAAAACGATGAACAGCTCCTAAACGTGAGTTTATCAGCTGCAGTGTACATCAGCCCTTACTGTCCAATTGGAGGATGGGGTTTGGTAGAAGACCTGTAAATGAAAGTGAAACTGCCGCAACAGAAAACCAAGTCCCCTCTCCTGCAAACAGGGCTGTGCTGTGTGGCAGAGCTGTGGAAACAAATAAAACAACTTTCATATGTATTCCATAGCTGTATTTGGCTGTCTGCCTTCACTGCACTTCACATTAAAAAAAAAGGGACACTTAAAATGCAAAGATGTGCTTACCAATTCATTCGCTTCAGGACTCCGGGAAAAACAAAAAATGCTGGTGTCATGACTTGTGAAAGGCATTTGACTGGCCTCCAGCTATCATAATGTTCACATTTATCTCAAAATTCCCAGCAGAGAACTAAAAGCGATGGATC